AAAACATCTTTCGGTAATATAGAGCGTCCAAAGTGTAGTTTGGTTACGGAAACAGAGACCAAGGCTTTCCTCAGAAAGACAATTCTGAGACAGCGTAACTCAGCCAAAAGAAAGCACAACCGTTGTTTTAGTAAAATCAAGTGAAAATCAGGCTGACTCGCTGCATACTGGAAGAAGACCCTTTTTCGGTGTAATGAGACTGAAAACAACCCAATATTACAGAAAACAAACCCAACATGTTTTTTGTGCTTTAAAGCTGAGTCCAACGTGTTTTAGCAAAGAAAAAGCGAAAAGGCTTTTTTTTTGTGACATTAAACTCAAAGCAGCGCGATTTTGTTGCCGACATACAAAAACGTAATTTCGCTACGATGAGACTCGACAAAGGGTTTTCAGAAACGAAAAACGAAATCGCTGTTTCTTTGTAACAAAATGCTCGAAACATCCGATTTCATTGCCAACACGCCAAAACATGTTTTCGATAAGATAAAGGGTCAAAAGCACAGTTTACGTAGGAAGCCAAGGAAAAGCCTCTTCTCAGAAGCATAATGCTGAAAACAACGTAACTTAGCCCAAAACAAACGAAAACCTTTCTTTTGAGCAAAATGAGATAAAAATCAGCATGACTCGCTGAAAACTGGCAGAAAACCTTTTCCCGGTGCAATAACGCTGGAAACAGCCCCATTTTACGGCAAACAAACCCAAACGTGTTTTTCCTCTAATAAAGCTAAACGCAGCGTATTTTAAACACAGAAAGGCAAAAACGCTGGTTTTTGTGATATACGGCTCAAAGATAATCTAATTTAGTTGCCAACAAGCCAAAACATTTTTCCAGTAATACAGAGCATCAAAAGTGTAGTTTGGTTACGAAAACAGAGGTAAAGGTTGTTCTCAGAAAGAGGATTCTAAAACGGCGTCACTTAGCCAGACACAACTAAAAACGTTCTTTTGAGTAAAATGAAGTAAAAAACCAGGATGACTCGCTGCAAACTGCAAGAAAAACTTTTTCAGGTGCAATAACGCTGGCAACGACACAATTTTACGGCAAACAAACCAAAATATGCTTTTTATGCTATATAGCTGATTCCATCGTGTTTTAGCAACAAAAAAGCAAAAACGCTTTTTGTTTGGTGATATATAGCTCAAGGAAGCCCAATGTTGTTGTTAACAAAGCAAAACATGTTTTCGGTGCTATGAAGGTTGAAGCAGCGCATTTTGCAACCATAAAACCAAATTGCTGTTTTTTTGTGATATAAGGCTCGAAGCTTCTAATTTAGTTGCAAAAAAAACAAAACATGTTTTCGGTAAGAGAGAGCGTCAAAAGTGCAGTTTAGTTACAAAACACAGAAAATGGTTGCTCTCAAAAAGATAATGCTGAAATAAGCGTACCTTAGCAGAAGACGAGCAGAAACGTTGCTTTTATTAAAATCAAGTAAAACTCTACGTGACTCACTGCAAACTAGCCGGAAACCTTTTTCCCGTGCAATATCGTCGAAAACAGCGCAATTCTACGGCACACAAACCAAAACATGTTTTTCCTGCAATATAGCTGAAAGAAGCTTATTTAAACACACACGCAGAAAAACGCTCTTTTGATGTGACACAAAGCTCAAACCAGCCCCAACTCGCTGCAAACGCACCAAAACATATTTTTGATAGGTTAGAGCGTCAAAAACGTATTTCATGTAGGGAAATGTGGCAAAGGTTGTTCTAAGAAAGATAGTACTGAAGACAGTGTAAATAAGCCAAAAACAGGCTAAAACGTTCTTTTGAAGGCAATCAAATAAAGTCAAGGTCACTCGCTAAAAACTGGAAAACGAAATCCATTTACCGGTTCAATAACGCTGGAAAGAGCCCAGTTTGACGCCAAACAAACCAAAACATATTTTTTGTGCTATAAAGTTGAGTGGAACGTCTTTTAGCAACAAAAATGCAAAGACGCTGTTTTTTGTGATATAAAGCTCAAAGAAGCCCAATTTCGTTGTCAACTAACCAAAACATATATTCCGTCTGAATGAAACTTAAAACAGCGTGTTTTCTCGCAAAAAGTGAAATCGCTGCTTTTTGTGACATAAAGCTCGAAGCTTCTAATTCAGTTGCAACCAAACCAAATGATGGTTTTGGTAAGATAAAAGGTCAAAAGCGCAGTTTTGGTAGGAAAAAAAAGGAAAAGCCTGTTCTCAGAAACATATTGTTGAAAACAGCGTAACCTAGCCGGAAAGAGACGAAAACGTTTCGTTGAGTAAAATCAAGTAAAAATCAGCGTGACTCGCTGCAAACTGGGAGAAAACCTTTTTCCGTTGCAATAACGCTGGCAACAGCCCACTGTTACGGCAAACAAACCAAAACATGTTTTTCCTGCAATAAAGCTAAACGCAACGTATTTTAAACACAGCGAGGAAAAAACGCTGTTTTTTGTGACATAAGGCTCAAAGCAGCCTAGTTTAGTTGGCAACAAACCAAAACATCTTTCCGGTAATATAGAGCGTCAAATGTGTAGTTTGCTCACGAAAGAAGAGGAAAAGGTTGTTCTCAGAAGGAGGATTCTGGAACAGCGTAACTTAGCCAAACACAAGTAAAAGCGTTGTTTTGAGTCAAATCAAGGAAAAATTAGGCGGACTCGCTGCAAACTGAAAGAACACCTTTTTCCGGTGCAATACCACTGCAAAACACACAACTTTACAGCAAACAGACCAAAACATTTTTTTTTGTGCTACAAGGCTGAGTGCAACGTCTTGTAGCCAAGAAAAAGCAAAAACGCTGGTTTTTACGATATAAAGCTCAAAGAAGCTCAATTTCGTTGCCAACTAACCAAAAGATATTTTCGGTGCTATAAAACTCAAAGCAGCGTGTTTTCCAACGAAACAGTAAATGGCTGCTTTTTCTGACATAAAGCTAGAAGCTTCCAATTTAGCTGCAACTAAACCAAAACATGTTTTCGGTAAGATAAAGCGTCAAAAGTGTAGTTTACTTACAAAACCGAGTAAAAATCAGCGTCACTCGCAAAAAACTGGAAAAGAAATCCATTGAGCGGTGCAATAACGCTAGAAAAAGCCCAATTTGACGGTAACCAAAGCAAGAACATGTTTTTGGTGCAATAAAGCTGAAAACAGCGTATTCTAGCAATTAAAAAGGGAAAACGCTATTGAGGCTGTTCTCACAAAGATGATGCTGAAAACAACGTAACCTAGCCAAAAACTAGCAAAACCGTTGTCACTCAGCCAATCACAAGAAAAAACGTGGTTTTGAGTAAAATCAAGAGAAAAGCAGGGTGACTCGTTGCAAACTGGAAGAAAACCTTTTTCCCGTGCAATAACGATGGAAACAACACAACTTTACGGCAAACAGACCGTTGTGTGAGTGCAACGTGTTATAGCAAACAAAAAGCAAAAACGCTGCTTTTTGCGATATAAAGCTCAAAGAACTCAATTTTGGTGCCAACTAACCAAAACATATTTTCGGTATTATGAAGCTTGAGGCAGCGTGTTTTCTGGCGAAAAACTAAATCGCTGCTTTTTCTGACATAAAGTTCGAAGCTTCCAATTTGGTTGCCAACAAACCAAAATGTGTTTTCCGTATGATAAAGGGTCAAAAGCGAAGTTTAACTTGGAAAAAAAGGAAAAGCCTGCTCTCAGAAACATAATGCTGAAAACAGCTTACCTTAGCAAAAAACAAACGAAAACGTTGTTTTGAGTAAAATCAAGTAAAATCAAAGTAACTCGCTGCAAACTGGCAGACAACCTTTTTCCGGTGCAATAACACTGGAAACAGCCCAATTTTACCGCAAACAAAGCAAAACATGTTTTTCCTGCAATAAAGCTACACGCAGCGTATTTTAAACACAGAAAGGGAAAAACGCTTTTTTTGTGTGTGACATAGGGCTCAAAGCAACTTAATTTAGTTGCCAATAAACCAAAACATTCTTTCGGTAATATAGAGCGTCAAAAGTGTAGTTTGGTAACGAACAAAGAGGAAAACGTTCTGCACAGAAAGATGATGCTGATTACAGCAGAACCTAGCCAAAAACAAGCAAAAACGTTGTTTTAAGTAAAATCAAGTAAAAATCAGCGTGACTCGCTGCAGCCTTGCAAAACATCTTTTCCCGTTGCAATAACGCTGGAAACAGGGCAATTTTACAGAAAACAAGCGAACACATGTTTATGGTGCAATGAAGCTGAAAGCAGCGTATTTTAGCATTTAAAAAGGGAAAACGCTACTTAAAGCAGTTTTATTTAGTTGCCAACAGCACCAGGGGGAGATCATAGATCAACAGCTGGACGAGCCGCTAGCGAATGGTAGAGTTGAAGAGTCGCAGAGCCCCTGGAGCAGTCCGGTTGTTTTGGTAAGGAGACATGATGGAAGTTACCGTATGTGCATTGATTACCGCAAACTGAATTTGTGTACATAGAAAGATGCAATACCGTTAGCGAGGACCGATGATGTCGTGGAAGCGCTGGGTGGTGCTGTATGTATTTGGCGTCTGGGTATCGGCAGATGCAAGTAAAAGAAGAGGACAGGCCCAAAACAGCATTCTCGACCCATCGTGGACAATTCCCATGGAGGGTTATGCCTTTTGGACTCACGAATGGGCCAGCTAGATTTACCAGATTGATGAATCTAGCACTCAGTGAACCGACTTCGACACACTGTCTTGCGTATTTGGATGATATTATTATCTGGGCCCCTTCCCTCGAGGAACATCTGCATAGCCTACGGTTATTATTTGACAGGATACGAACTGCTGCTCTTAAGCTGAAGCCAACTTAGTGTCGGTTTCTAAAGAGAGAAGTTTCGTTCGCAGGGCATGTTGTCTCTTCAGATGGCATCAAGACTGACCCTGACAAGGTCCAGACTGTCAGAACTTGGCCAACCCCAGTAGACATCAAAGAGCTCCAAAGCTTCATTGGTCTTGCCATTACTATAGGCGGTTTATTTCTGGATTCTCGATCGTCGCAGAACCACTCTACGAATTGTCGAGGAAGGGTGTTTCTTTCCAGTGGCAGATGGAACAAGAAAGTGCCTTCAATGAACTGAAACATCGCTTGACCATTGCACCCGTCTTGGCATATCCCGATTTTAGTCCTGATGCAGGATTATTCGTACTTGACACAGATGCCAGCCAACCCTTGGGCATTGGCGTTTTTTTATCTCGATTGCAACGCAATGACACTGAGCGTGTGATAGCTTACGGGAGTCGTTCTTTGAATGAGCAGGAAAAGAACTCTTGCGGGACTCGATTAGAGATGCTAGCTCTGGTAAACAATGTGGACCATTTTCGCTATTACTTGGTGGGACAAAAAATTGCGCCTGAGGACTGATAATCACTCATTAGTCTGGCTAATGTCTTTTAAAGAGCCTCAAGGGCAAGTGGCCCGTTGGCTGGGCCGCTTACAGTATGATTCTGAGATACAACGTCACCCGGGGAGGTTACACAATAATGCAGACGCCTTGTCTAGAAGGCCCAGACGACAACATGGGAATTGTCCATCGTGTACTCCAACAGGATTATCCCAAGTTACGGTTGTTGCTAGAGACCTTCCGGTCGGTGAAACCCCACGTGAAGTGAGAAATTGTTGGTACCCAGAAGTGGTTGCACAGGCCCAAAGAGATGATCCAGATATCAGCGTGGTACTTTGTCGTTTGTTGAAAGAGTGAAGGAAACCAGCTGTTGAGGAACTTCACGTCGATGCGCTGTGCTGCTCGTGCTGTCTGGGCCCAGTTTGAACTGTTGTTGCTACAACAGCGGGTTCTCTATATAAAGTCAGCTGCCCACACTACTCAAGCTAAACTGGGGATGGTTGCACCGAAACAGTTAGTGGAGCAGGCCCTTGTCGAAGTTCATGATGGCGTTGCTGGCGCCCACCTTGGAGGAATGGAGAGTCTAATGAAGATGAAAGCTAGATTCCGGAGGCCTGGCACGACCAAAGAGGTGCATTGTTACTACGATCGATGTCTGACATGTGCCAAGTGTAAGCCAAGGGCGAAACCCAGAGCACCACTGTGGTCATTTACCTCTGGCAACCCCACGCAACGCATCCATATTGACATTGTGGCTCCCTTGCCACGGTCTCGGAGAGGAAACCGCTACATCTTAACAGTTCAGTGCAGTCTTACTAACAGGGCTGAGGTGTTTGCAATGTCCAACCAGCGTGCCACAACCTCGGCAAAGGTGCTTGTAAGGAACTGGATCTGCAGATCTGGTGTGCCTGACAGCATTCATAGCTATCAAGGCCGTAATTTCGAGTCTAGAACATTCTCGGAAACGTGCCAGCTGCTGAGTATTAACAAGACGCTCAGCAGCGCGTATCACCCTGAGGGCAATGGCCAAGTAGAAAATCTGCACAAAACCTTAAGGAGCATGTTGAAAGCTAGAGTTGAAGATAATCCAGCTACACGGGATGAGCACCTTGATTTCTGCCTGATGGCCTATCGCAGTAGTGTTCGTTTCCTCCACGGGGCACAACCCGTTCGAGCTCATGTTCGGTAGAGAGATGAGGACACCTTTGGATGTAATGGTTGGCGGTGCCGAAGACAATGAGTGTTCCTACACTGATTTCGATGCTGTAGAACTGCACAAGTTGCACAATACTTAACTGCTTGAGGTAGCTCAAATGGTCAAACTAGTTACACGTTTTCAACTGCACCATGAAGCTGAATTGGTTCCAATAGTTCAAATTGTCTAACTGGCTTAATCTATTCGACTGGCCAAAAACATCAAACCAGCGAAGACCGTTAATCTGACAGCAAAAAATGCAAAATCTTTCTCGATTCTTTGAAGGAGTTCAACTTGTCAAATTTGCTCAAGTGGTCTAACTGCAGAGGATGCGTAAAGCTTTATAGGTTCAATCTAGAAATCTCCACAATGTAGCTAAATTTGTCGAAGTGGTTGAAATGGTCCAAGTAGCTGATATTTGTTCACCTGGTTTGGTGGTCAAACTAGTGAACAAAGTTGCGGAATCTATCGTAATTCGTTGAAGTCGTTCAAATTGTGAAAGTAACTCACAATTCTTGAAACTGCAGAGAAACTGTACAATCTAGCTGAATTGTTTCAAGTAGTTAAAATTGTCAAAGTAGCCTCATCGATTCAACTGATTGAAAGGTCAAACCAGCAAAGACAGTCAAACTGCACAAATTGCTCATTCTATATGAATTGGTTGAAGAAGTTCAAATGGTCAAACTGACTAATGCGGGCTAATCACACATAATCATTGAAAAGTCAAACTAGTGTGGACAATCATACTCCAAAAATAGCCCAATCTATCTTAATTGGTTCACGTCCTTGAAATGGTCAAACTAGTTTAACTTGCTCAACTGCATGAACCGCAAGATTTAACTGAATTTTTTCATGACAAATCAGCTTAATTGCTTCGACTATTGAAATAGTCAAAGTAGCGGAAACGGTTAAACTGCACAAATTGCAGTCTCTATCCCGACTAGCTGAAGTAGGTGAAATGCTCGAACTAGCTTAAATGCTTCAACTGCACAATATGCACACTCAGCTTAACAGTTTGAACTGCAGATACGGCACAATCTATCATACATGGATGGAATGGTTAAATAGTCCAACTAGGGAAGACTGGAAAAAAAACAGCAACGAGTTAGAACTGTAAAAGTTAGAAATGCAAGGAAGGCTGAAGAGAGAAGAAAAGGAAAGACAAGAAAGGATGGAAGAAAAGGACAGACAAGAAAGGGTGGAAGAGAAGGACAGACAAGAAAGGATGGAAGAAAAGGACAGACAGGAAAGGTGAAATTTGATATCACCGAGTATCTTAAGTTGGTATTTCCATTTCAGGAAGCAGACGCTGATAAGTGTTTCTTGCACTTTGAGAAAGTAGCTGGCAATGTTAAGTGGCCCACGGATTCCTGGGTAATTCAATTACAGAGTGTACTAGTCGGTAAAGCGAGAAAAATTTAAACACAGTTAAGTGTAGAGCAAGCTGCAAATTATGACACTGCTAAGGATATTATTTTAAAGGGTTCTGAAATAGTTGCCGAGGTTCAGAGACCGTGAGAAAGTCAATGGTCAGACTTATGTAGAATTTGCGAGAAGTAAGGAACAGTTATTTGATCGTCGGTGCCATTCGCAGAGGGTAGATGAGAGTCACGATAGGTTAATGACAGCTAGTTTTAATAGAGGAGTCTAAGAGGTGCATTCACGGTGATGTCCGAACGTTCGTCGATGAGCAAAAAGCACAAACCTTAGAGAAAGGTGCACGACTAGCAGATGAGCTTTGGTTGAGGCACAAAGTGAACTTCATGGAAAAACCCCATCAGCTTCACACTTCACCCGCTAGAGTTCTGCCTCCTTCGGTACCACGATGGTTTGCAAAACCAGAGAAGTCGGCAGAATGACGGAGGACATCCAAAGCAGAATCCTGCTAACAATTATGGGAATCGTTTCAGCTCCTCATGGTCAAGACAGAACAAGTTTGATCGAGGTAAGCCCATCAAGCCGCCGACATGTTACTTTTCCAGAAAAGCTGGTCAGCTGATTTCTAGCTGCCCGGAAAAGTGGAGAGTGGCGCCTAAGCGTGATGGTTTTCTCGCTAAGACATTGACTTTAACTGCTGTTGGTGAAGATACACCGCCCTCCCCAAGTTCTAAGAGAGAAGACTCGAGCAAGTGCTGTGAGTGAAGTCAGTGGCCCCTGCAAATCTGTCATGGATCTTTTTCAGCCCTTCGTCCACCATGGTTCGGTGTCATTGTCAACTGATACGTCCAACTCCATACCAATCAAGATCTTGACAGGCACTGGAGCCTCGCAGTCTCTATTGCTGAGTGACACGTTGGTGTTTTCTGAGAAGTCGTCCACTTGTGCGAGTGTTCTAATAAGAGGAATCAGTTCCAAGTACACCCCGGTGCCACCGTATACACAGTATACACCAGTATACACCAGTATACACCAGTATACACCAGTAGTTGTCAATGCTATTGTCACCGACAAGCGTGGTTAAGAAAAGTCTCCAGAGCCAGTAGAGAGGAGAATTCTCCGTCTGTACCCATAATGTGTCGTGACGCGAGCCATAAGTAAGAAGTTAGAAACCAGAGACAAAAGAGGTAAGATTAGCTGACACCGCCATCAGCCAGGTCCTTACGGGTGAGCAACCGAATCCCTCTTTCTCTCAGCCAGTATAAGTACTTTCTGAGAAAAGTTCAATGGAACAGGTCGAAAAGATGTCAACTTCTCAACTCATTGCAGAACAACACGAAGACCCGGAAGTCTCACCTATATTTTCAAGAAGTGTTAGTGAAAGCGAAGTATCTCAGAACCCCACCTGTTACTTTACGAAGAATGGAGTGCTAATGAAAACGTGGAGACCACCCCATGTTCCCACAGAAGAGGAGTGGGCTGTCCAGTACCAGATGATTGTCCCAAAGACCTACAGACCGGACGTTTTAAGCACAGCGGATGAGACCCCCTTGCCTGGCCACCTGGGTGTCAACAAAACCTGCCAGAGGTTCTTAGACCATTTGTACTGGCTCAGTCTAAGAAAAGTTGTGGCGCAATACTGCAAGTCGTTTCACACTTGTTAGATGGCTTTGAGACCGAATCAGATCGTTCCAAAAGTACCGTTACAGCCACTACCAGCCCTTCAAGAGCCATCCAGCAGAAGAATCGTTGTTGATTGTTTAGAGCCACTACCTAAAAAGAGGTCTGGACACCAGTATTTGATGACCATCACGTGTGCATCCAGTAGATTTCCTGAAGCCGTGCCCTTGAGAAATATCAGTGCAAAGGTCATAGTCAGAGCTTTAACCAAGCTCTTTACACCGGTAGGTCTCCCAAGTTCTATCCAGTCTGACCAAGGTTCCAATGTTGTGTGGCATATTTCAACACGTCATGCACGAGCTTGGAGTCACACAGTATATGTCAACCGCATGTCACCCTCAAAGTCAAAGAGCTCTCGAAAGATGGCACCAAACACTGAAGAACATGATGAGGATCTACTGTTTCGAAACAGAGGAAGATGGGGACGAGGGTAGCCATCTACGACTGTCTGCTGCAGCTGAGTCAGTACAGGAGTCTCTAGGATTCAGTCCATTCGAGCTTGTATTTGAGCACACTGTGAGAGGACCTATTAAACTGCTTAAAAAGAAGTTATTATCTAGCAGCACTGAGTCTACGAATCTCTTGCAGTATGATTCAGATTTTTGCAGTAAGCGTTTTAGAGCTTGTGAGTTAACTAAAGCTAATCTTAGTCCTTTCGAGATGCCTTTGAAAGAGAATTATGATGTAGATGCTGTAGAACGTGACTTCAAGTCAGGAGAAAAGGCTCTTGCATTGTTGCCAGTGCCTAGAAACAAACTTAATTGTAGACTTTTTGGTCCTTATGTCACTGAGAAGAAGCTAAATGACCTCAAGAGCTGATGTCAACATGCATCAGACAAACAGCAGCGAGCCGCCCAAGTTTGTTTCTCTCCTACTCTCATATTTTGTAGCCCAATATGTCCTGATACCTGTGGTGTGTTTTTTTTTTTGTGAAAATATATATTAGTTGTGAGAAATGAGTTTTTTCGTTCGACCGCTCAAATATGCAAATTTTTACCCTGAATATTACCCGAGTTGTGTGACCTCATGTAACGAGTTTGCTGGACCTCCGGTATTTCTGTCGGCATAATCCTTCGTTGTATCATTTGAAATTAATCCCCGGTCATTATTGAAGCTGGCAAAGAATTATTTCTTCTTTGGTGAATAATTTTGTCCGACATACTTTTTCTATGTCGAAAAGTGGCATCAAAACAGAGACAGTTTTAACAATGACCGACACGACAGAACCTACTGAGCTTCTAGCTTTTGAAAGACGCCTTATAGCTGATGGTTTTGCTTTTTCTTTTGGACAACACAAGTCTGTTAAAAGGGCTCTAGCTTTTGGGGTCTCGGCTTATTGGTCAAGAAATACAGTATATTCGTCTCTTCACCGCGGTGCCCATATATGATTTTCATACATCCACAATCATTATTCCATCTTAATTGGTTGACGTATTTTAATTGGTCAGACTAGCTTAAATGGTTCAACTGGACAATATCCACAACTACTTAATAGGTTGAATTGCACAAACTGTACAATCTAGCTTTAATGGATCAACTGGTTAAATGGCTGCTTCGTGGAACACACCGTTTTTGCTCTTCTGTTGCTAAATTAAGCTGTCTCAAGCTCTATCTTTCAAAAAACAACGTTTTCCGCTTTTTTTGAACTCAACTGCGCTTCTTTCAAAGACATGCTTTCGTTTGTTTACAACTAAACTTGGGCTTCTTTCAGCTTTGGCTCACAGAACACAACGTTTTCGCTTATTTTAAAGGAAACTACGGTTACCTCAGCTTCCTAGGACTTAAATCAGTTTTTGCCTATTTCCAGTCAAATAAGACGTTTTCAGTCTTACCTCCCTTTTTACTTTGTTTTCAGAGTAAACCACAAATTCGCTGTATTGGTTTGAATGAATAAAACGGTGAAACTACCTAAACTGTTTCGTGGAAACAAATGCACG